GAGGAGGAGGAGGAGGAGGAGGAGGAAGGAAGGAAGGAAGGGAGAAAGGCAAGCTGACTTAAGAGGAAATACGAAGAGAAATCAATTACAAATTATAAAAATTCAATCTTTCTAGTAACCAGACGTGCAAACTAAAGCACTCTTTGATACTTTTTTAGACCTGTGAAATCATCAATGGGTTTTTTTAATTTATAAAAAACAATTTTGAAAAACTCTAACACCAAGATTGTGGTAAAACCAGAGTACACATTCATGCTCTGCTGGTAAATGTTTCAACCCTTTTCAGAAAGCAGCGTGACAGCCAGGCGTGGTGGCGAACGGCTGGAATCCCAGCACTCAGGAGGCAGAGGCAGGGGGATTGCCACTAGTTCAAGGCCAGCCTGCGCTACATAGTGAGTTCAAAGCCAGCCTGAACTACACAGCAAGAACCTGTCTCAAACAAACAAACAAAATTAGGCAGCATGACAACTGTTAGCAAAGTAAGCAAACAAGCAAAAATGTTTATAACTATGGCTGGGTAACTTACCAGTCAAAAACAAACTAAGGGAGGCTGGGGAGATGGCTCAGTAGAATAAGCACTTGCCTGGCAAGGACAAAGACCTGAGTTCAATCCCCAGTTCCGCCAACTAAGGGAAACAGTACAACTAGGAAAAGTCTATAGTCCTAGCAATCTGGGAGGCTGAGACAGGCGGATCACAAGATGGAGCTCAGTCCGGGCCATTTAGCAAGATCCTGTGTCAAAAGAAAAATTATAGGGCCGGGAACACGGCTCAATAGAATAAGCGCTTCCCTGGCAAGCACAAGATCCTGAGTTCAAGGGCCGGGGATCTAGCTCAGTGGCCCAAGTGCCTGTCTGGCAAGTGCAAGGTCGGGAGTTCAAGCCTTGGTACCAAAAAGTGAAAAACAAAACAAAAAAGTAATTTGGGGCCAGGGAAATAGCTCAGGAGAATAAGCGCTTGCCTGGCAAGTTCAGGGGCCTGAGTTCAATCCCCGGTTCTGAAAAAAAAAAAAAAAAAAACTATAAAAGAAAAAGCGGGGAGCTGGGGATACAGCTTAGTAAAAAAAAAAAAGCCCTGAGCTCAATCCCCAGTGCCAGAAAAAAAAGATACAGAAGTCTGTTTGTCTGCCCCTCATCCTTTCCTGCAAAGGCGGCCAAGGCCCCTTAAATGATGCATGCATCTCTCCTCGGGTCACTCCAGTGCACAGAACCCTTGCAAAGAAAGGGACGGTGTAGCAGGTCAGTGCGCTCCACCCAGAGCACGATATTTTGAGGTAACAATTAAGATAATAGGTCAGTGGGCCAAGGAGATAGCTCAGAAGGATAAGCGCTTGCCTGGTCCTGAGTTCAATCCCCAGTACTGGGGTGGGGAAAAAAAAAAAAAAGATAATACCTCAGACAGTGTGTGTGTGTGTGTGTGTGTGTGTGTGTGTGTGTGTGCGCGCAGTGCTGTGGGTGGGACCCTGGGCCTGTCATCCATGCCAAGTAGGCATTCTACCACCGAGCCACACCTCAGCCCTTTTTATTTCCTCTGAGACAGGGTCTTGGTAAATTGGTCCTGAACTTGAAATCTTCCTGCTTCAGCTTCCCAGAAACGCTGGATGGGCACGTGCCACTAAGGCCAGCTGTGTGCTTATTTCCTGCCAGGACTCTTTGGACCTTTGTTCCTTGGACCCTCTCAGGATTCTCACCAAGAGCAGCCCACTTGCGGCCCGCTCTTCCAGGCAGCGGGTGAAGCCGCCTGCAGTGTGGCCAGGCCTAGCTTCTTCCAGCCTACGATGGTGGCCTGCGCAGAGCACACTGCCAACTCTGCTCATTCGTCCTGTTTCGATGCCAGCTTCAGTTTGTGGTCTCCCCTCCCCCAGCCACCTTCCCAGGCAAGTGGCCGTTTGTGTCGTTTTTTTTGGTAGCTCAATTCTAGAATTGATCTCATCGCAACATAACTGCTGTGTTGGGCTTCTAGCCACCTGTCCCAAGCAGCCGAGGGCGAGGACAGCAGGAGGCCTGCAGGCACCCTCTGCAATGACCAGGCCCAGTTGCTTCAGGGACTCCAAAGAGCAGGCAGGAGGCAGAGTTCTGGCATCTGTGAACCCCCTCCAGGTGTGAAAGTGCTTTGAAGGGGTGAGGGGAAGTCCCTCGCACTCACACCCGGGGCAAGGTGAGCAGTGGCCCCGTGGAGGACAGCAGGGGCCCCACTGTCATCGAGGCCGGGGACAGACCCACCCCGTGCAGCCCCAGCACAGCCAACACCTTAGGGAAGAGCAGGGAGGGCAGGTGCAGCAGGAGCCCTTCAGAGGGAACCCAGAATCCTGCGGCCAGAAGGCTGCTGAGGGAAGTGCTTATTCCACCAAGCTACCTCCCTAGCCCCTGAGCTAGAAATTCAGGGGCTTCCCCGCAGTTGGCAAGCCCAGCCCCAAAATACCCTCCGTGGACAAAGGGCCTGTGCTGCAGGCAACTCTGTGGGAGCCCGGGACTTTCTCCCCTCCGGGGAGCTATTTTCGGTCCCCTTAGGCAGGGTCCCCAGGAGGAGCGTCTCAAGGTCACCTTTGGCCACAGCTGGGTCCCAGGCAGCAGATGACCCACCTGGCTCCCTGCAGCTCAAACCCCCTGCTAGAGCTGGACATAGTTTGGGGTCCCCCCAAGGTCCTTGCGTTGGAAGCTGGGTCTCCGGCATGGCAATATGGGAGCTGGTAGGACTCAGAAGAGACCGGAAGCAGCTGTCTGAGGTGTCTCATGACAGATGCCATTCGAGTCCTTGTGACTTCGCCTCTGGAAGGGAAAGAAGAGCTGGCTGCTCAGGGCCAGGCAGCCAGAAGTTCACTCTGTGGAGTCAGGGACCAATATTAGGGTTCCCAGCTGCCCACCAATATACTCATCCCTTGGGTCCCCAGCCCTGATACACTGTGTGGTCAGACCCCCACCAATGCACACCCCCAGCAGGATTCCCTGGGGAATCCTTCCCAGGCCGGCCAGGTACACACTGCTGAGCCTGGATAGAAGCCTAGCCCAGGGCTCTGTGCATCTCTCCATGGTGACAGGGAAGATCCTCTTCCTCACAGAGCCATTCACTAGACAGCCAGCAGCCCTTGTTCAAATGTCTAACCATGGTTCCAGATTTCAAGTCAGGATCACTGTCCCCACTTTATGACTCAACCAACTGAGGCCCAGAGACATTAAATAACTTACCCAAGATCCCTCAATTGGAGAGGAGCGGGCCTGGAGCTTGTTTCCACCCTCGCCTGGCTCTCAGGCCGCAGTGGCCTTCTCTTTCTTCCTTAGGACACTGGTGCCCTGGCTTCCTGCGGGAGAAAGCACTGGGTCCCAGCGCTGGGGCACCGCAGGGGAGGGAAGGTGGCTTCGGGTCTTCCCCAGAGCCGCAGGGGATGTCTGGTGGGTGCCACCTCCCACAGCCTCAGCACTAGCCACACTGCTGGTCACACCGTCTTGGTGGGGACACTTCCTCTGTCCTCTGGTTTCCGGGTCAGGGCTGAGCCCAGGTTGGCATCTGGCCTCGGCATTGCCTCTATGAACTCAGGGCTGGAGCTGTGCTCGCTGGGTCCCCCTGGGAGGGCCATGGAGGTCCTTGGCACGCAGAGAGGCAGAAGAGGAAGAGGCCGAGACCGGAGAGGGAAAGAGACCTGAGCGAGCCCCCAGCATGGCCACCAGCCACAGGGAGCACGCCAGGGCTGAGGTCCTCTTGAGGGAGTCCCTGCTTGGCAGGGCTGTCACAGATGCCCATGAGTCACTCAGATGCTCAGAAAACCAGGTCCAGCATTAATCGCAGCCTCAGAGTCACGGTGCCCAGAGGGAAGCAGAACCCATGGCTCCAGGAGCAACCCAGGCAGCAGCGGACCAAGCGGGGCTGCAGGGGTCAGCCCTTCCAAAGTCCCTGTCCAGGGAGCTCTGCCCAGCCCCTCAGGGAAACTGAGGCTGGGGCCTGGTGGGTGCATAAATACACAAGAAGCCACCAGAACGAGGATGCTGGCATGCTCAGTGCCCGGCACAGGCGGGCATGTGGTAAAGATGCAGTCGGGACAGTGTGTGTTTAGTGTGCACTAGCTCTGGGTTCTGCCCAGCACCGTGCATGCACACTCACACACTTGCACAGTCACACACACACACACACACATACACAACTCACAAATGCAAACTGAATGAATCAAAGAGACTTGAATAGGAGCCTCCTCTTCTGGTCCAAGAGCCCTGTAAAGAGATCATTTTTATGTATCTCATTATTTTAATTTTTATTTTTGTAGTACAGGGAATTTAACCTGAAGCCTTTGTACCGAGTTGTATCCCCAGCCCTTTGTTAAAAAAAAAAAAAAAATTAATTTTGAGACAGTCATACCAGGCTGGATTCAAACTTGCGATTCTCCTGCCTCAGCCTCCCAGAGTACCAGATGCAAATGTGCACCACCATGCCCAGCTGCAGAGATGATTTCAAGCTCCTGGGAAAACAGACACGCAGGGGAATAACTTGCCAAAGGTATTCAGTATAGGTCTAGAGCTGAAACCCAGAGCCTGGTCCATGGTTCCAGGCCGGGGCTTTGTGCCCTCAGCACAGGTGGCTGCCCTTGTTGTGACCTTCACACACACACACACACACACACACACACACACACACAGTAAATACTTCCAGCTCAAGGGTCTCTTCCCTTGGTCTTGCATCTCCTGCTTCCTGCCTCACTTTCCCTGTGAGGGCCACAGCGCTGGCAGCAGGGCCAGGAGGATCCGAAGGCCTGGAGGATCTGAGGGGCCCAAGGACACCCCAGCCTCCCACCACCCAGCACTGCAGGCCTCCAGAAAGGCTGGAAACACAGAGGCCTGAAGCCAGGCTGATCAACTAGGGCACAAAATGTAAATCATTTCCCAGGAAACCACTTAGTAAGGCAGCAGGGTGTCACTGTCCTGCCTGGGCTGTTTTCTGAAGATCCCTGGGGAGAACATAACCAGGAGGTGCTGATGGCTGGTGTGGCAGGCAGCAGGCATGGCGGGAGGCTTGTGCCAGCCTGGAGCATGTGGAGGAAGCACTGAGACTCAGGCCTGAGATTCTGCCTGGGCCAAGAAGCCCCAGGTGGGGCTGTGTGTGTGTCCAATCCCTGGCCCTGTCACGTCCCATCCCGGACCCCTGTCTGTTCTAAGACAGTGCCTGCTATGAGGTACTCGCTGGTCCTGCTGCCTGCAACCTTGACTCTCCGCTCCTCAGAAGGCTGCTTCTCCAAGAAAACATGCATGGCAATGGGCATCTGTGTCACCTCAGCCTGGGGTGGACACTGATCCATGCCCAAACCTGGGAGACCCAATGCTCTAAACAGGCCATACTTCTTGTGTGTGACTCCTCGACGGGCCGGGCATGGTGGTGCACAGCTGTAGTCCCAGCACTCGGGAGGCTGAGGCAGGAGGATCACTGTGAGTTTGAGGTCAGCTTGGACAGTGCAGTAAAACCCTTCTATGAAAAAAATACCTCGATAAAGTTGTAGAACTATTTTATGTGTGTGTGATTGAACCCAGGGCCTTTGCCTTGAGCCACTTCCCCAGCCTTTTTTTTTTTTTTTTCAACCAGGGATTGAACTCAGGCCCTTGCACTTGCCAGGGAAGCGCTTATTCCACTGAGCCATCTCCCCAGCCCCTACCTTTTTAAATTTTTTGAGCCAGGGTCTCACTAAGTTGATAAATTGCCCAGGCTGGACGCCAGGTTGAGATCCTCTTGCCTCAGCCTCCTAGAGCGCTGAAATTACAGGTGTGTGTCGCAATGATTGGCTGTGTAAGAACAAATTTTACAGCTGCTGCCTTTCTTATTCTTCAGATCTTGGCCTTTCCTGCATCACTGATGTTACCACTTTGGGTCCTGTCGCCCTATGGGTCCCCTGCAAAGAACTCTCCTCAATTGGGTCAGGGAGATAGCTCAGTAGAATAGGCGCTTGCCTAGCAAGCACAAGGTCCTGAGTTCAATCCCTGGTACCACCAAAAAGAACTCTCCTCAGTGACCTTCTAATTGCTTGAGGCCCCTAGTTTTCCCCAAGACAGGGCTCACAGGAGCAGGAACTGTGTCCGTCCTGCCCCCTGGCCCAGCAGGAACTGGGCTTGACTGGGTGTCACTTGATGGGCTGAAGGATAAAGGACAAGGGTACTGGGAGGGGGGTTGGCAGCAGACTAGGGCTCCCTGTGGGGCACTGCGGGGGACACGGGCCACTGCTGGGAAACGACACTCAACAAAGCCAGGCAAAACCCACCCAAGTCGGCACCACCATCTGCGCCATCACCAACGTCACCGGTGCAGGAAGGCCCCTGCTACCTGTGTGCGGAAGTTGTTAAAAAAATTCCTCCGGGATTTCCCGGCTTGGCCCCTCTATGCGGCAGGGGTGGGTCATTCCCATCCAGGACCACTGTCCCTCCAGGTGGGTGACAGGAGGCTGGGGGCCCCTCTGGCCACAGGTTCTGAGACATGAAATCCTGGAGATCTGGGGAAACTGAGGCATGGATGCCATTCAGGCCTCAGCTACATCTGACCCTCATGCAGTGACCCCTGGCGAAGTGCGGAAGGCCTGCGTTGAAAAAATCTCACCGGTTGTCATCCGTCACCCGCAGCAAGGCGTTATGACTTAACCAGTTTCTGGATTGCATCAGAAGTGGCCCAGAGTTCCAGGGCCTGTCAGAGAGAGCGGGTGCCTGGCAAGGCTGGGACATGGGCTACGTCCCTCCTGCAGGAGCCCTCTCGCCACAGCTTCCCACGGGCCTGCAGTAGCAAAATCAAGCAGGTTCAGTTTCTTTACTTGTCCAAGAGCCTGCCACGCGAAGGTCTGAATTCACGCAGTCTTTCAGCAAGCACTACAGGCTGGTGGGTACCAGAGGACGCACGGGTACAAGTGGGCCCATGGGAGGAGCCTCGAGGGAACAAACAGGTGGCCAAATCCCAGCCTCTGCAGCTTGCTGACCACCTCAGGAGACAGGAAGTGAAGCCAATAAAGGAAGAGAGGCGAGGAGAGGCCATTAAAAGGGGCTCCAGAGAAAAGGCAAGCGAGGTACCCTGTGGGGTTCATACCCTAATAAAATGACCCGAAGGCTGGGGGGGTCTCACAGCTGTAGATTTAGCACTGAAATTTACAGTGACTTTACTGAGTAAGATGGTCAGGGGCGGCCTCACCGATATTCAACAGAGACACTGAGGAGGAAAGGGGGAGCCGGCACACAGGGCAGAGAGGGCAGCGGCCAGGCCATGGGCTCTACCTGATGTACAAAGGCCCTGGGGTGGCAGGGAGCAGGCCCAGGGTGCTGGGAAGCGCAAGGGCAGAAGAAAGTGAGCTCAGAGGTGGGGCCAGTCAGGGTGTATCTGCTGCTCCCTGCAGTGGGGCCAGTTGGGGGCTGGGAACAGGAGGAGGAGGAGGCTGCTTGGCTTCCAGGACTCTTCCTCGGAAGCCAGGAGGGCACAGTGGGGTGACTGGCAGGATCCACGTCCTGAGTACAGCGGGGGACAGGCCTGAGCTGGCTGTTTATGGACCCAGGGACAGGGAGGGCGGGAGGCAGGGAGCACTGGGTCGGGGCAGCCCGCAGACTATGGTGGCGTGGGATGGGGTGGTCAGGGAGGGCTTCTCCAAGGAGGGAAAGACCGTGGGAAAAGGACAAGAAGCAGAAGCAAGGGCTGCCGGGAAGCCCTGAAGGAAGCCGTTGGGGGGACTTCCAGTGGCCCCAGGGGCCCTCGGGCTGCTGAGCCCGGGCAGCGAGCACCAACGAGGCCAGCGAGGTGGGCAGGCCCGGCCCGGGGTGCTGAGTCAGCACCGGGAAGGAAGGCTGCTCAGCTGCCACCAACAGCCCAATCAGATCTAGAACAGGAGATGGGGAGAGGCAGACGCGGCTGAGTCATCTGGGCCCTGACTTCACCGCCTCAGAGTGCAAACGCCTCCGGCACCCTGCCCCAGGGGCCCTGTTTCAGAATGACCAGGTCAGGCACCGGGACTGCAGGGTCGGGCCGCGGTTAGTCAGGTAGCACCCCAAAATCCATCCTCTGTAATTGATGCTTTGAAACAGAAGCCTGTCATGGGAGGATGCAGTCGTTTTATTTTGCTTTATTTTCTGTTACTAGGCATTGGACCCTGAACTTTCCCACTGAACTCCTTTTTATTTATTTTTTAAATTTTGAGACTGGGTCTCACTGACTTGTTCAAATACCCAGGCTGGACTCGAACTTGTGATTCTCCTGCCTCAGCCTACAGAGTAGCTAAGATTACAAGCATGCACTACCATGCCTCGTGCCTCTCCCTTGTATGCAGATTTTGCTCTATGGTCCAGGCTGGCCTGGAACTTACTATGCAGCCCCAGCTGGCTTTGAACTTGGGCCTGGAAGGCGCTGTTTCTGGCCTCTGAAGTTCTTCACTGGCAAATGTCACCACAGACTCCGTTTACTGAGCAGCTACTATGTTTTTGGGCATCGTGGCCACCCAGGGTGGCAGGCTCCAAAATCTAAACAGCTTTGAGTGACAACAGAATCCAAGTGGGGAATCTGTACCTGACTTCACGCGATAGCTTGCAGCAAAAACACAGGCACACTCAGGAGAGTGTTGAAAATGACCAGGGCCGGGGAGATGGCTCAGTGGAATAAGCGCTTCCCTGGCAAACGCAAGGGCCTGAGTTCAATCCCTGGTTCCACCAAAAGAAAAAAAAAGAAAATGACCTGCAGGGTATGTGAGTGGGACATGGTGGCGCCCACAGGCCTACAATCCCAGCACTCAGGATGCTGAGGCAGGAGGCTCGCCGTGAGTTCAAGGCCAGCATGCACTATCCAAGACCCTGTCTCAAAAATAAACAGAGAAACAACAACAAAACCCATAAACACTGCAGATTGACTATGCGGGCTTGAGCAGCAGGACTGAGTCTTCTCACGCTTCTGGAGGCCAGAAGCCCCAGATCCAGGCAGACGTGGGCACCCCAGCTCCTCCGAGCCCCTCGGTGCTGAGAGATGAATGCCTTCTCCATGTGCCCATTGTGGGCTTCTGCCTCTTCCATCAACCACAGGAATCCTCTCCTCACCCTGAGAAGCTCTCTTAACCTAGCCACCACTGCTGTCACTCTGGGAGGTACCGCTCCAGCACTCGGCTTCAGACCAAGAGGACCTTCTTTCCACTTAGTCCCCCGCCACGGCCCAAGATGGGCATCTGAAAGGCCACTTTATAGAGAAGAAATTCAGCGGGGCGCAGGCGCAGGCCTGTCATCCCAGCTCCATGTAAGGTTGGGGAAGGAGGATCACAAGTTCAGGCCTCAGCCCAGGCAACCCAGTGATGAGCGAGATACTGTCTCAAAGTAAGATAATAAGGGGGGCTTGAAATGCAACTCAGTGTCCCTGGGTCCCCCCAGGGAGGAAAAGATGAAAGGAAGGGAAGAAGGGATGGGTGGAGAGAGGGCAAGATCGGAAGACAGGAGGGAGAAGTCTGTCCATCCTTGAGTCCAGACCCCAGTTTTCTGTGACCCCCAAGTATGCTGGACAGAACAGCTGCAGTTTGGGACCCAAAAGCTCTCTCAGGGGGAAGTCATGGTCATCCCAGATGGATCTGAGATGCTGCCCTGACACCAGGACACTGCGCCTCTGAGTCACCCTCTTTCCCATGAGAAGTGACAGCAGCACTTTTGAGAGTCACACTGCCAGCTGTGGCAAAGCCAGAGGACCCCACACAGTGTGCAGCCCACAGGGAGACCCCAGCCCTGCAGGGGCAGGGAAAAGAGGCAGGGTGGGGCTCTGTGCCACAGAAGCCACAGAACCCGAGGAGTACTGAGCGAAGGGGGCTCAGAGCTGGGCCCTGGGCTCTGGGCTCTGGGCTCTGGCATCGTGTCCCCAGGTCCTAGGCCTCCACAGGACATTGTGGCCAAGAGGCTAGGGGCCTGGGGTTCGAGTGATGGCCAGTGGATATGTGAAGGGAAGGAGGGAAGGAGGGAGGGAGGGAGGGAG